TTTATGTTTGTTCACAAATAATCACGGGTAATCTTTGATGACTTTATCTCCAAACTTATCATTGATTACATAGGCGTACGGGCCCGATGACAGTTAGGGGGGCAGAACCCGAAATGCCCGAAAATTTCGGGTTTACAGACAGCGGCGCCGGTCTTCTTCGAGAGGCGAAGAAACGAAGCTTACCTTGCATGGACCGCCCCCCCCCCCCAAAGAAAAATTTGGAATATTTGACGGCTGCAAACACGTTTTCCTGGTATTTCAGCCCGTGAACAAAGCAACTTCAAAGTGGTCTAATAATATAGCCTAATTAAGGTGGCTGACTCTAATTCCAATCAATCGTTCACAGTCCACGGAGACGGGATTGTTGGAAGAAAATTTTGAAAATTTAACTGCTATTCCAGCCTGTGAATACAGCAACTTCAATTTGGTCCAATATAGCCTACCTAGCTGACCCGAATTCCAAACAACCAATCAATCGTCGCGGGGTATGGGGGCCCCACCCATCCTTCCGGAGAAAAATTTGAAAATTTAACCACCGCAAATGCGTTTTCTGTAAGCAACTCCAAAAGTATCCAATGTTTTTGTAACCGAAATCGCACTCTGAATTCCAACCACCCAATCAGACTGTTGCAGCTGCATTCACAAATAATAATCGATGCCCGAAAAATGTCGCACAAATTAGAGTGGCTCCAGACAAAATGTTTTAATATATAGTCAATTCAGTACAAATTCGTGGTATTCAATTAAAAGAAAAGTAAAATTAGTGTTTTTTTAGGGCTCGATGACAGTTAGGGAAGCAAAATTAGAAATGCCCGAAAAATTTCAGGTTTACAGACAGCGGCGAAGGTTTTCATCGAAAGACGAAGAAGCGGAGCTGACCTTGTATGGACCGCCCAAGAAAATTTTGGAATATTTGACGGCCGCAAACGCGTTTTACTGCTATTCCAGCCCGTAAAATTAGTGTTTTATTAGATTTCTGGCACTTTATTTTGCCAAGTAGATGAAATAAAAAATTTGTTTCACTTTACCCGTCTGCCCGAAAAGTCAGCTTGTCCGAAAGTTAGGGGGGCAGCTGCCCCCCCCCCCCTGCCCCCCCCCCCCCCGGCTCGTACGCCTATGCTTATCAACCGCGTTCAATCCATCAACGAATTGTTTCATTTCTGCATACTTTCTGGAATTGTTAAATGTAAAAAATGTTCGTTATTTTGTAATAAATAATGTTATTGCTAAATGAATACTCTTTTAATGATTACCTAAATGAGATACTGTACATGTATATATGAGATAGTAAAGAATAATAAATAATATGTCGCATTATTATTAATTGTAGACTTGGCTTTATTCGTCCCCATATGGTTGGGGTTATACTGATGTATAGTATCTACTAGTAAGGGAATTATCTATTGTAGTTTTCCCGCAGTTAAGCCAAGAATAATAATTTTGTGACTGCATTTCACTGGATGTTTTGTTTAGTTAGGAATAAACTACTATACCTATAATATAAAACATGCCTCAGTAGATTAGATATCAGATCGTGCTTGACCATTCTGAAAATCATGGTATTTATCCCAGCATCAAACAGAAAATCTCTTATCTTATCGTCGGATTCCAAATGGCTAACAATGAGCATTCATTAATCTGAAAATGGTTATACTTTTTTATGCTTTCAGAAATAAATGGAAACAAAATACAGGACAAAATATGTTGATCTCCTATGAAAATAAGATTACCATTTAAATCATAAATTACTTTTATACATTGCTTTTACACAAGCCTAAAGGAGTTAACTTTTTCACATCTTCATCTGGGATTGTCTCGATTGCCTCTTCAGTCAATATTACTGGCAACCCCATGGTAAGTTTGTAGATGTCATCTTCCATTACTGGTATTCCCGGGCCATCGTTAAGTATACTCCATGCTACAAATTTACCTGCCTGGGTGAACTGTCCACTCTCTAGCAAACTAATGTCGTGTCGAAAACATATTCGATTTGTTTTTCCCTCAAAACATCTGTTTATTAAATCCTTTAAGAGCTCTCTGTTATATAAACGGAATAATACAACATTATCTTTGGAATTTTTTGATTTCATGATAGTCACGAGTTAGAATATTGAAGGTGTAGCGAAGGTTTAGAACATGGTTTATATACATACGCATTTATATACATATCGACCGTTTTTACAAAGAGTAAATCGTTAAAATTTGAGAGACGTTTTTGAAGATTACGTTCACTTCTGCACCAATTAAGCTAGACACACAGTCTATAATCATTGAATGAAATATGGGAAATAAGTCAGCTACTGGTACAAAATTTCTGAAAAACATTACAATAGGATATAAATGTCAAATTATAATTTATAAATGCACAAAAATGCAGGTGCATTTTTAAGAATCATTGTATTTACAATTAAAAATGTAAAAAAAACGAAGTCTCCCTAAAGGCAGCCAATCCAAAAATAATTTGAAAGGCGACGCGCGTCGCAAAGCGCAACGCGTCGCTTTATAAATGGCGACGTCGTGTTAAAAAGCCGACGTCGCTTTTCTTCTCTATACACCAAATGAAATCTCCTTGTACATGCGCATTTCAGCATCAGAATTACAAACAACATCCGTTTAGGAAAGGCGTCGCGACACAAAGGGCGACGCGACGCGGTTTTTTTTTTGGAGGGGGGGGGGGGGCGACGTCCTGTTTTAAAGTCGACGTCGCTTTTTTTCCCTATAGCTTAACATTGAAAAAGGCGACGCGAAGTTTGCGTCGCGCGTCGTTTTTTTCAAAGGGGACGCGCGAAGTGGCCGAAATAGAACATCATATTAATTTCTCGTTCCAGATTTCTGTTATGTTTCGTAAAAAAAGTAGTCTTGATTATCCCGGCCTGTCAATCAAGCGTAGAATGGTCGGTAGACTGGTAAAGCGAGACTACTTTCAAAACAAGGGCACGTAACCTATGTTTTACTCACAAGTGCCCGGATGTTATGGCCGACACCCGTAACCATCTTTCAGTGAATTATGGATGGATGGTTAAATGGTCATAGCTTATATTAAGTACAACATGACCGTTTATTTAGTGACTATAAATGTTTGAAACTGATTTAAGGCTTGGTGTATATATAAATATTGTAGTGTAGTAATTTTTTTTTTTTTTTTGGGGGGGGGGGGCACCATTTTATTTTGCCATAGTCGTTTGGCTGGATACTGCTTGCTTATGATGAACAACTTTATAAACTAATAAACTATGCACTGAAACCATTTTTGCCAGCAAACTATGTATACTTTGGACTCCAGAGCAGTTTTGTAACAGCACCAAAGATATATTAATAGCTAATGGTAAACTAAGTCCAACATACTGCGACCAAAGGGATGTGTGTATAACATAGAGTGTTTTAGTTGGATTTGTTACATCTGGGACTACTACTACTACCTGGTGCTTTAAATAGTCGAAAGCAGCAACCAACAACTCGGCTGTAGATGAACACTTAAACTTTTCAGGGCATTCGGCCTGTAAAATAGTAGTTGTTATTGAAATTTAATGTACTTAATAGCCTGTTCCAAATAACCTGTTTTAGCTTAAAGGAAAACTCAATTCCCTTTTAATAGATGGATGATATAATTTAATTACTCGGCCTTCTGGGAATCATTGATGGTTTGTGGATTGATTGTTCTAATGGATTTTGTATTTAAGTGAAATCACGTTACATGCATCAACATTTTTCATTGATACTAATAATCAAAGTTCATCTTCTTTCAGGGTGTTATGATTATTAAAACCTGGTCAAGTCATTGTCAATACTTCACAGATTGTCCATTAATCAATTTGTTTTATTTTCAGGTAAAGTGGTCTATGTCATATTACATGTTAATTGTTATTAGCATTGCCCTTATCAACCTTAACCACCTTCCTTAAGGTAATTAGAATGATATCTCTGGTTGGTGAGCATTAACCAAGTATTATTGTTTACATGTATATTATCTTGTTTTATTTCATATTTTATCATTGCTTTGTAATGACTAGGGAAGCCTTGTCGAAAATTCACTCAGTAATAAGCAGTAATTGTATTCTATAGAATTGTGGCCGGTATACTCTTGTTTTAAAACCATGTCTAGCTGTTTGAACCGCGGAGCAAAATAAGTTCTCGGTGGGATATTATGAAAAAAATTTACAACGCTTAAACGTTCATCCGTAAGTTTGGCTATATGTTATCTACATATTAATGTTTCTGTGATCTGTATATTCAATTATTAATGCCATCGAAATGATTTAAAAGGAGTATAACCAATTTTGTATTAAAGTTACCGTCGTATTCCAGACTAAAAACAAACTTATCCAAACCGATCGTTCCTATGTACATTTATACTCTCCGTTACTTTACATTGACTTCATACAAGCGATTAATTATCGGGATTTATTATCTAGCCTTTTGCTATGATTTGGGCATAATTAATTGATCGAAATATATCGTGTATTACCATTTTAGGGGATCTCATCGTCTTGGAAACTTCTAGAAACAATGGAAATTTCTGGAAACCGCGTTTAGCAGTAATTGTAAGGCAAGAAAACATTGGAAGGTTCTGGAAAGTTGTGGAAAATTTAAGAATGTGTGTATGCATGTGTGTATATTTGCCCATCGTGCTTCGTCGCCTCTCCCCCCCCCCCCACCACATGTGTGGTATTATATAAACCAGCATGACCCCTTGTCTGTTTAGGCTATCGGGCGAATTTGGACCCATTACCAATGTGCTTTCAGTACCCAAAAGTTACAGTTGGCTTAAGCCACTGTCTAGATGATTCCCCTTGGCCCCCAATAAGGCGTCTCCGCCAGCTCGCTAATTTAGAATTCAGTAAATAGAATGAAATGGGGTTTAGTGTCCTACTGTTCTGCTCTGACTGGGATAATAAATACGGGATTTCAGTAATGAATAAGCTTTGAGGTTATGGTGCTGATGCATTAGCGTCGTTTCAAGGCTCTATGGCAATTTACAAGCATTAAGCCTAGCTTAAATACATGATATTATCCCTTTATTAAACAGATCGAGTGTGTATAAATATCCACTTTTAAGTGAAAATCTACCTTTAATATAACAATAAACATATTTTTAATTTATTGACTGAAGGGAATTTATATATCATAACATAAATAGAGTTCAGTGAAGCCACTGACATTACAATGGCGGTCATGATTCTTCTGTATTTCTCCATGGGAACTTTTCTCCGTCCGGATCTTTTGTCACTTGAGCTCGGCCTAATGGCGTTATAACTTCTCCGGTTTTACCATCGAGCAGGAGTAAATTAGGAACTCCACACACGTCAAACTTTTCTGACAACGTATCCTGAAATTAATATAAATGTATTTAATATAAATGAATATGTATAATTAAACATGCATTATGCAAGAGCTAAATCTGATTATTACAAGTCTTAAATTAAGCTTCAGATGTTATAGAAATTATAAATTAGATCTTTATTTAAACAACAAGACCAAAATCAACTCTGTAGACCCACGGATGGCTCGGCTACAGCTCGGATTTAAATAGGATTTCACTAATTGATTAAATCAAATAAGGGGTAACTTGATGAACATACGTCAGTTAGATCGAGGCTAAATGATAGAGTGTACTTAGCGAGGCCGCTGTAAAGCGTTTCGGTATGCCATTGAAAACTTTACTTGATAATCGAGATATGTAGGTGGAGTTAACGCCTGTCAATCAAACGATCAGCGAAGGTGAAGACACAATTCGCTACCATTTCTAGGCAAATATTACAACGATGATAACTATGTTCAGAATAAAGTAATTTGACTGAATTTTTTAATATATTCTTCTTTCATCATCTACTTTTGAACTGTTATAGCAAGAATGGCCAACTCTCTATAAAAATCTCCCATAATGTATCTTTAATATAATTGCTGTTTCAAGGTAACTTCTATACCTTGAAAAAATGCCATGCAGTGGATTTAAAATTGAATCGAATTTCGCTTCCTGGATACTTTTTTAATACGAATTTGATAAAAAACGAAATCACAATCGTCAAACGTTCACCAGAAATAATTATCCAAGAAACTTGTATGCCATACAATTGTGGCATGGTTTAATGTTACCGCTCAACCCTTAAAGGGAATAACAACTTACAGCTCGCTGGTCACCAAATGGTAAAGCTAACCATGGCATTTCTTTAATATACTCATCAAACTCTTCCTGGTCTCGATCTGATGATACAAATATTATCTCCAGTTTCTCTCCTCTACTTTTTAGTTTTTTGTAGAATTTGATTAAAGCCGGTGTAAACATCCGACATGGTGGACACCAATGTGCAGAGAAATATAAACCTGTTGAAATAGAACGATAAATCTACTCGAGATAATCTGGTTGGCAAAAAAGCTGCACACCAAAGACAAAGCTATATTTCTAGCTGTGAATGCCTCGTGGTTGTGATATTATCGGAGCTTAATCAAAATACTCCAGAATGCTATTTTATTGTTCGATCTACCATTAGCACACCTTATTTTTATATGTCCACATTTTCAGATCACAATTTTCATCCGATGTTGATGGTTCCTTTCGATAATGGCATGCATCAGACATTAACTTCATTCATTATGGCCCCTGGTTGTACGAAAAATCATGTTTTTAGCTTGTGGACATTTTCATCCAATTTTGATGAAACTTAATATACTATTCAAAAAAAGTAGGGGATATTTGATTTTGGGGGCATAATACTAAAATATGCAAATGACTACGAAAAAAGTCACTATAGAACCTAACAGAAGAAACATTTCCAGTTACATGTGACGCCCAAACGCACCAATAGCTACCGCATGGAATGCAGGTGATGCTTGGGATCATCATGGGGGTCCAACCCAAGATTTGCACGACTCTGACTTTGAATGTTACAGTCATTGTGGCATTGAATTCCAGGGTGGAAACATCAGTTTAATTGTTTTAGTGACCAGAAAACAAATTTTGATATGCGTCGGCTTACCCAAAATGAAAGGTTACGTGCCCTTGGCATGCTACAGATCGGCACAACACAGGCGGTTGTGGCGCGGACGATGAATGTTTCTCAGTCTGTCATAAGCAGGCTATGGTCCAGATACCGTGATACACAATCTGTACAGGACAGACCACGCTCAGGTCGACCAAGGGCGACAACTCAAGCCCAGGATCGATTTATCCGTACCTTGGCCTTGAGAAATCGTGTCATCACAGCAAATCAGATCAGCGCTCGTCTTCAAACAGACACTGGTGTGAGAGTGAGTGGCCAGACGATTCGGAATCGACTGCATAGGGGTCACCTTCGCGCCCGACGTCCTCGCGTGATCCCTTGTTTGAGAGATCATCACATTCAGGCAAGACGTCGTTGGTGTAGGGATCGTCAACACTGGGATAATCGACGCTGGAGCAATGTGATGTTTTCAGATGAGTCAAGGTTCACTGTTGATTTTTTGGACAGACGTAGGCGGGTGTAGCGCTTCCTAGACGTTAACGTCATCAGACATGATCGATTTGGGGGTGGTTCTGTTATGGTGTGGGGAGGCATCACTGTTGCTGGAAGAACGGCTTTACATGTTGTTGCAGGGCGTGTTACAGGCCAGTACTACCGGGACAACATCTTGGCAGTCCATGTTGTGCCGTTCGCACGACGTCATGGCCGCCGTTTCATGTTCCAGGATGACAACGCAAGATGTCACAAGGCCAGGATCGTTACAGGTTACCTCCAACAACAGAATATCACCACATTACCTTGGCCAGCACTGAATCCCGACCTCTCCCCCATCGAGCATGTCTGGGACATGCTTGGACAGAGGTTACGTCAACGTCAACAACGTCCTGCCAATGTCCAAGAACTTGCTGCTGCGTTGCAACAGAAATGGGACAATCTGGACCAAAATGACCTTAGACGTCTCATTAGGAGTATGCCACGTCGGATCAATGCTTGTTTGGCAAACAGAGGAGGATTTACCCGTTACTGACTTAGTTGTGATGCTGTGGTAACTTTGCTGTTTGACCCCGGGTATCATTTTACCCTTATAATGGTCAGTCTGTGCCTTACTTAGTCTAACGATCATTTGGAATAAATCGATGAATGTGAACTTCATTTCATTTTGTCATTTGTTTCTTCGTCAGTTTCATTAGGTGACTTTAATAACACTTAAAAATCAAATATCCCCTACTTTTTTTGAATAGTATATATACAGTATGGTTATAACCCAAGGATTCAGTTCCTGTCGATATTGGCGCATATCGGACCGTAACTCCTGGATTATGGCTCCTAGTTGTATATACGAAACATTGCGTTTTTAGCTTGTGGTCCTTTTAGAGGTCACAATTTTATCAACCGTTCAAATATTTCACCGCTACACCCTAATGACGGTATATAGTTGAATTATCAATGACCACTGTCGACGGTAAACACGAAGGTAATAGATCTGTTTTCGTAATATCTGAATATCTGATAAAATTTAAGTTACTCTTGAGAGTATTTAGCACTGGACTTTTATAGAGCGTGCTTAATATATACCCAACATTGCCTTCTTTCTACAAAATTGCATACTACCTAAAAAAACAACATTTCTACACAATGTTGTTTAAATGATAATATTGTCCCGATCGGCCAAAGTAGTAAATTCCCACACAATCAACATAGCTATGATTTGACCCTAATTTTATTCAATATGTTGATAATTTGATCAAGTTATGTAAAAGTAGGACCCTATTCTAATATTAGAAAAAGCATTTAAACATAAAAGCACATTTATATCCCCATTTTTTTTTCAAATTTAATATAAAGTCTATGTCAATAATCCTCTTTACCTTACTGAAAAAAACAAGGTTTGTAAATTGTTCTTTAGATAACGATCCGAGCTATTTAACTTATAAGTACGTCTTAATGTCGAGGAATTTATGAAAGAGGCAATGCAGTAACGAAGACGGGGGCTAGTCGCATACATTTATCATTTAATTGCCACTATAATAGGTAAAAACTAAGTAATGTAAAGGCAATTTGCTGAAAATTTCAGTCAAATTGATCCAATCTGAACCGAGATTTTAGCGATTGAATGTTGGGTCTAGCCTCGATCATTATTACTAAACTCGGTACGATAAAAAAAACATAGTCCCGATTATCCATTTTTTGATTTAATTATCAATGAGCGTTAAGCTGCAGATAGGATTCTAATCCAGAAAATATCGCAGCCTAGCGATGAAATCGAGAGTTGATTATGGTCTGGATAAGTTAGTTAATGTCTAATTAATAATTTAGATAACATTTCAGGCCTAAAGAAAGGTGTGCATTTGGCAGATTTAGCTCTTGCATAATGTATGTTTAAACGGCGTAAAAAGTAGTGGCAGAAGATAGTCCAAGAATTTACGTGACACACAAGGATGCTTAAAATAGACTTAACAGCTTAGAGTTGTTTTTACTCAATTAAATGGATTTGAAGCAAACTTTGAATATAGGTTTAGTCCAAATATATCATCAAATCACGCAGTTTGTAGTGGGAATGCATCTTTAATTATTAACATTGCAAGAACGCCTCAGGCATTACAAAGCTATCAAAGGCGAGAACACCAGTGGATAATAAACATTAGCTCTGAATTAAAGACCATTCTTGTCTCATGGGTAGAAGCAAGCAAATAACTTTGTCTAATGGTTTGGATTGTTCGTACTTGGTTTTATTTTATTGGGACCGTAATCGATTGAATGTATGGCCCTATGTTCTACTTGAAATGGAAATGACTAAAGAAGGATACAATAAAACTTTATAAGATCGATACTATATATTTTTTATCTTAATTTAAAAGATAGGCTGGTAAATATTAATAGAAATTAGACATGTACAAAACATGACATTTTTATGACAACCATTACTATTTAGATATAGTAAGTCTTAATATATATACACACACAAGTGCAAATAAACATCAATTTAAAACAATTATAAAAAAATGGCACTTTAAAGTGGCTTGCCCGGCAATCTAATAATGCACCAGCCAAGAACAAACCTAACAAATATAGTCGAAAAACATTAAAAGTTTTAGGAATAAACTAGTGCTAGTAGGGTAATTATTGTTGGTGTATAATTAGTACATAGTAATAGTAAGACGTTGACTCGCTAGCCTGGAAGTCGCGGGCTCGCTCCCGGTGTGGGCCGAGGAAGTTCATCAGGATTTTACACCGTGGTTTCCCCTTGTCAGTGGTGCAGGATGGAGGGCATGACAAGGACAGCTGTCTAGTCGTTAGGATGGGACGAAAAACTGAGGTCCGGTATACACATTGATACACGTAAAAGATCCCTTGGCAGTTGGAATTCGATATAAGAGTAGGCCGTAGCCCACTGTATGGCGTATTAGGCCAGTCGGAACAGCACAGTAGGACCTTAAACCCCTTTTCATTTCATTTCAATACATATATAAATTCGCCATTGACATGTAACGACAATAGCAAGTTGTCAGTGGTGCAGGATGGAGGGCATGGCAAGGACAGCTGTCTAGTCGTTAGGATGGGACGAAAAACCGAGGTCCCGTATACACATTGATGCACGTGAAAGATCCCTTGGGAGTTGGAATTCGATATAAGAGTAGGCCGTAGCCCTCTGTATGGCGTATTAGGCCAGTCGGAACAGCACAGGACCTTAACCCCTTTTCATTTAATTTCAATATAAGTATAAATTCGCCATTGACATGTAACGACAATAGCAAGTTACATTATTATAAAGAAAGTGTTAGAACCGGTGTGTATATAAGTCCGTGTAATTAATCTTCTATCACTAATTGATCCTGCCATTGCTTAGTTCGCTATTCATGTAGTATGTCAAATGGTTGAGTGGGATGCCCTGTCAATATCCCATGATCTAAATATGTAACTGTTTACATAAGCTTTTATACTCAATGCAGTTAATGAGTGTTCAATTATTGTAAATTCTCTGTGTTATAAGACCTATTGTTGTATGGAGATTGAAACAGATATAGATCCAAGTCAGTGCTTAGGTCTAATCCATACATAGTTTCAGTTCTTGTTTTAATGTCTTTTCTAATGTTGTTTTTATACTTGAAGAAAATGTTGGGTCCAGTAAGTCGGTTTTTGTTTTGGGGAAAATGTCAAAACTAGCCAAAACGTCCTATATTCCCAGTCACATTCGAGTTGCGATTCAGCGTAGCCATGCCAGTTTTGCGTAAAGCGGTCTGGACCCGGGTATGTAGTGGTTTTTTTTCGATATCCGAAGAGCAGTCACACAAGACGCTTCTTGTCAGCGATATCACCAAGGTGGAAGCAATCGTTAAACGCCAACCAGTGAGCACACGTTGTGGGTGGCCAGTTCTCATGACGTTTTCGAACGTGTAGGGTAACGCTAAGTAACACCTCAACACAGAACTAAGTTCCGAACGTACCTCCCACGACTGATTGCACGATCGTCGTACCTGTTTAACGACTGGCGATTTACGATTAGACGACTGGCGAGTCATATAGCGGATGTTGAAGACCTACCTAAGATCAGCCACGAACAGATAGGTCGCAGGAGTGTTTTTTTGCACATGATCGAAAACCTGCCGATGACCGTATTCAGAACAACCAGGACTTGTGTATAGGATATTCCTTCGATTCCTTACGAGTTTCAATCGTAACATGTTTCGGTGGCAACATGTCTCTCAGGGTGATTTCGGCTTACATTAAAGCTGCAATTTCATATTTTAAGTTATATTCTTAAAATTTATTAAAATAAAGCCTTAAAATAGATGGTATCCATAAACCGCCCTACCTTGTTAAGGAATAATCCTATTAATCCTATACGTCACTATTGCCAGCTGAGAAGCCGGCAAAAATATCATTTTCAACTTCAAATTCCAACGTTTGAAGGTAGCTAATGCATGGAGGCAATAGGAAAACGAGGGAGGTAATTGTGTTATTATTTCCTGTGTCAATGATTTTTAAGGGTGGGAAATAATGCCCATGGTCGTATAATAGTGAGTTGATAACCTATTGAGCAAAAGACATAGAAATAATTATGTTTTAACTTTCTTAGAAAATATGAAATTATCGCTTTAAAGGACCAGTCCCGATAATATTTTGGAGAATAAAACTGCTTAATTTTGTGTGAAAACCCTTAAAATCTTCTACCTTAGGGCCGAGCAACTAACTCAATATACATGATACGTTTTCAAAGAACTTAAACCCGTCAGTCTTCATCTGGAAATGGAGGCCGGTGTTCCAAGCTGTATTATACGGTGGCTGGATAAAACCAGACTTTAATTTTATAAAAAAAATAATGTGTAGGTGAAATTTGCCTTTCGTTATTATCAAGTACAGCACATGGGCCATTCATTGTATAGACCTCTAAAGGAACGGGAATCGTTTATCAGGCCACCCAATAAAAAAATTGACCTGAAATCTTAAAAGGGTTACGTGTCCGGATAACCAGCTTTGACGTTCACGCCCACACGACTTAATATTTTGAGCTGAAACTTTGAAACATGGTAAATACACCATTCCTTTATATTTTGGCGCTTAAATATTATACGTACTCAGACTTTTATTTTTGAGATTCTGTTCAAATCGGGATAGTCCCTTTAAATAAATGAAATGAAATATCATAGACGGTAGTTATGAAAGAAGTCCTTTAAGACGTAGCCCCTGTATTCCATAAAGTAATTAAACAAAATCTTACCAATAACAGCTTCCTCGCTAAGAAAGTGTTTAACTTCAATGGACTTCCCTTCACTGTTGACAACGTTATCTCCTAGAAGCTCCTGTATTTTGGACATTATAATGTATGAAATAGCTTCAGGTCTGAAGACAACACGAATACACTACAATTAATGGATAAAAAAGAAAATGAAGTTCGCGTAAAATAGCGAATCCAAACAAAATTTTTTAAAGGTTATCTACAGGTGGGAAACCCAAACATGCCACAGTAATATGTGGAGCAGTATGTGTATTGCTATTGAGCTAATCTATAACGACGTATCTTCACAATAGCTATTGTAACTGGATATTTTCGCTCAATGTTCGATCGATAAGTCCATAATCTATACCTATCGGCAAATCTACTATATAACAATTATGGTCTGTGGGATGCATAAATAAAGATAAATAAAGTTCTAGACTAAAAAACGGACTTGCTCACGACAAACATAAAATAATAGATATTGTAATAGCACATGAAAAAAGTACCTAAGTCGTAATAATAAGAGACGTGCAGAGAGAGGGGGGTAGGGGTGGAGAGGTGTTTTAACGTCCACTCGACGCAAACTATGTCATTTCGGGACTATTGTTTGGTTCAATTTTATTTCAATAAAACGGTTGCGCGTAGGAAAAACACTAGGTTGGACAGGCGACTCTACCCCACTCAATGTCAGACCCCTTAGCCCACTTGACCCCACCACCCCACCCAAGAGAAGTGGAAGTACACTTGTTACTACTGTACTATTAGTTAAATAGAGAAGCAGTGATATTAAGATACATTTACGATGGCACAATTCCGTAATAACGACCACTGAATTCTTTGGATAAAATATCCCAGCCCGTTAGTTTACTTGTATTTGCGGTTGGTTGAAAGAACCTATTGTCGACCGAAGGATCTTTCTGTTGACATCGACTGTCCGAGATAAGATTTATTTGTGTGTATAGTACGTTATCAATATTTTACGTTTTACATAACAATACACTAATGACGAATCTCTCAATGATTCTGTCGATTTTCCGTAATGTTTAATTGATTTTCGATGTACATGTACACGGTGAGTGTGATAATGTTTTGCTTCCCGACATAAATTGTAACTTATAGTAAACAATATGGGCCTAAAATAAAAATGAAAAATGTTTCTTTTGCTGTGGGTGGAAATTAAAAACTCAGTATATAATGACAAAACAGGGCTCAGAATTAACAAGTTGGTTTACCGTTGCATTGCTCCTAACCCCAGGTTATTTTCTATTTTCTTATTCTAAACAAAGTTGTCGCTTGCCAGGTCCCCAATAGGTACACGCCCTTATGAAAGGGTAGCCCTTATGAAAGGGTATTCCTTGATAATGAGTAAGTGCATATTGGCTTCTCACAATTTAATTCTAGATTGCATATCTTTTGGGAAAATGTTACATCTAGAGAGAGAGAGAGAGAGAGAGAGAGAGAGAGAAATGGGGTTTAACGTCCACTCGACACAGACTGTCATTTCGGGACTAACATATGGTTTAATTTTATTTAAATAATTCGCTTTTAGCAGTGGAAGGAAACCGGGGGACCCGGAGAAAACACACGAGGCTGGACACACTACTCCTTGTAACGTATTGCCGGGAATTCGAAACCACGCCAGTTGACTCAATGGCAGGCCTTATTGTTACATCTAGAACAATTATTATAGCCTTTGTTGACACGAGCAGAGAAAGTTCATCGGGATTTTCCGGCGTGATTCCCCTTGTCAGTGGTGCAGGTCGGAGGTCCCATGTGCATATTTGCGTTCACGTAAAAGATCCCTTGGGAACTGGAATTCGATATAAGAGTAGGTTTTAGCGCCGCTGTCCAGACAAAAGACGATTGCATTCCATGTTTGTGAACTATGGTAATCCGTCGAAGGGGTGTCTTGTGTAGCCCGGTTTAAACTCCACGAAGTGTGTCTAGTGCATCAGGTGCTGGAACGACAAACATTTGTAGTGACCGATAAAGAATTTTTGTCAAATTTTCTATAATTTAGATAAGAAATCGCGTTCCTATGGGCGGGGTTATACTGTAATATGTAAACTATTATCCACCGTGTTTATTATTTTCACTCATGGTATTTCTTACCATGACAAGGTTGTTCCTTACTAGTACGAGGCCGTGGTGGCTCAGTGAGTGAAACGTTGGCTTCCTAACCTGGAGGTTTCTAGTGTGATTTCGCCTTGTCAGTGGTGCAGGGCTGAGTGCCTGGAAAGGGGCAAGGTATAGTCGTTCGGATAGGACGGGAATTCGAAATGAAAGTATGCCGTATTGTCGCTTTTCGGGAAAAAATTTCCCTCACAGCCCACACTGTATATCCGTCTTCATTAGACTAGTCGGAGCAGAACAGACAGTGGGACGTTAAACCCCATTTCATTTCGTTTCTTTCCTGACTAGTACAGTTTGGTTGTACAGTTTATTGCACGTATTAATACTTTATTGGGTTGGTCACGTGTCGTCGTTTACTAGCTTTTACAATTGGTTACTTACACATATTTCATTAAAAGGTTGGGGAACAATCATTTCTATTGGCTAGGGCTACAATTTAAAGGAAATCATAAAGCAAGATGACCGTAGTAAAAGGGCCAATATAGATGTGCTACTACTGTTAAGAACCAGAATGAAAAATATCATGTACAGTAACATCTTTCCGGGAGGATAATCAAAACAGAAGACAATAGAAACTTAGATTATCTAGTGTAGTTGTACGTGGATGACATCAGAGTGAGCTAAGGGAACTGACATTTCCATTATATAGAATACGTTTCATCCTTTTATTACAACAATTCTAGCTTCCATAATATAATGGTCTCATGTGTGTATATATATAATATGTGTGTACGATACACCTACATCTGTGGCGTATTCATTCATATACAATACACCAAAATCAGAGAAGGGGGATGGGTGGATAGCCGAATGGCTAGCACGAGCGTGCTGTATCATAAGGTCTGTCATTGAGTCAACTGGCGTAGTTTCGAATCCCCGGTTGTACGTGACAAGGAGTAGGGTGACCTGTTCAACCTCGTGGGTTTTCTCCGGGTCCTCCGGTTAGTCTCGAAATGACCTAGTTTGTGTCGAACCTCATTTCTCCCTCTCTATCTCTCCAATATCAGAGGTGTATCAATAAAATAAAATAAAACCAAGTACGAACAATCCAAACCATAAGACATTATTCGGAGTCCTAAAAAACGATAAAGGCAAAGTATTCAAGCAAAATAGTGTAATCCGCAAATGGACTGCTCCTCGTGTACAAAATACACGGCACATATTCCAGAAGACAGATTTGGTTAGAGGATACCACCGGTGACCGGTGATTTAAATACAGACATGTGAACCAAATATTTATTAGCCGCCAAGTGGTATAGATGTAAAAGTTTTAATGATGAAATTAACAAATAAAATCAATAACATCGGCTCGTTAATTTTCCCCCAAATCAACGAGGTCTTTTCATTTAATACAGCCTTACGGATTACAAACATTAGACTGAACACTAATCAGCATTCAGGAATATAGGAATTTATTTCACATTATAAAATATAATATCATAAAATGAAAACAGATCGGTGGAACCAGTGGCATAACAATGGTCGTCAGGACTCGTCTGTGTTTCTCCATGGAAAGTTTTTACCTTCTGGGTCTTTGGTCACCTGGGCTCGACCTAATGGCGTAAGAACTTCCCCCGTTTTACCATCGAGCAGTAGAAAATTTGGAATTCCAGTTACATCAAACTTTTCAGATAATGTATCCTGAAATAGAAAATAGACAAAAAACTATGCACAGACAGATTTGATGTCTTAAGTAATCTGACGTATATTTACAACCTTATTCCGCGTCTGATAATTCTAACTACAACGAAGACACTCAATCCATCCACAATAACAGCCATATTCTTTAGTAAATCCATAGCTTAGCTATGTGCATGGCCGGTTGTAGAAAATGCTGGGCCAAATTTGGGAGGCCCGAATGTGCCAAATACCGGACCTGTCCATGTGAATTTATCTCAGGACAACTAAGCGGGACTCCCTCTGGTGGGCCCTGAAGAAATAGGTTACCCTTTCGCGTGAAGAACATTCATTACGGCTGAATCAATATTAAGTCAAACGATGGGGGAATATCTTTAAACTAAAGAATACGAATATAATTAAAAAGACGAGATAACACATAAATATCCAAGTAACTTACAGCTCTTTGGTCACCAAATGGTAAAGCTAACCATGGCATTTCTTTAATATACTCATCAAACTCTTCCTGATCTCGATCTGATGATACAAATATTATCTCCAGTTTCTCTCCTCTATTTTTTAGTTTTTTGTAGAACTTGATTAAAGCCGGTGTAAACATCCGACATGGTGGACACCAATGTGCAGAGAAATATAAACCTGTTGAAAATAGTTATATATAATTATATATGGTTAGGCTAGCTGCACTACTAAAGATCATACGACTACACTAAACAGCTATGGATCCGAATCACCTTAGTTAGGAAAGGAGATTTTAAACTATTCAAAATAACTATGGGCTTAAAGACGAACGATAGGAACAGTCTTTGTCAGGCCCAGAGGTGACATAGCAGCAGTCTCAGACTTTCAGTCACTGTTTATCTTTGATCCAGAAACACAAAACATTATAGTTTCTTATTGGTGTATTTGATACATTAAAATAACAAATGTTTTATAAAGGGCTATATTTTTTATTTAAAATAAGGCGAACAATTTTGAGTAAATTCTTAACTTAAGTAAATAACTAATTCTCTATTATTTAATAACGACGTTTCGTAAGACATAAAGGTCACGTTTTCAAGTTGATGATAAATATCATGTTGTTGTTTATTAAAGATTTAGCGTCCAATACATTAATGTGATATTATGGGCAGGTTGGTCTTATTAAATTATTTACTTTTAATGGTTGAAAATTGTTAAAAACACAAAGTAAAAACGTCCGTGTATATCAAAGTCACCTTAAAATTGGTATTTATACATATTTTGGCTTACACCAAACTAAATAATAAAAAGAAACCATTAAAATAATTAAAAGCAACCATAATGACAATAATAAGAGAAACTAGAACTGCGATGCAGTAATGACGGGTTTCACCGGTGCCACGTTACCCTAAACATATGTCACTTCCGGTACCAATGAAACCATTAAACAGGTTTCCACCTCATCATTGCACACATTAAATAAAATGGACGCCGAATCAACCAAATCCAGCAATATCAATTCATTTTATATATTTGTTACATGTAAGTGTACAGTACTTCCGGTGATAATGAAAATATTCAATTAGTTTTATGAAATCAGAAATGGCATAAGGCATCACATGGTGAAAATTTTATGTAAATCGAATAATAATTGCCACTTTTATAGACCAAAAACCTTAAAAAGTGACTTGTAGAAAACCGTCAATTGCTCTGCAACCATACAAGTTAGAAACCATTTTCTGGAATCTGTATGATCGTATGGGTTTATTCTATTTGTTGATTGGAATCAAATATCATAATTTTAAAAACATAACAACTCAGACTCATTTGAATAAAATATCTGTTTTGAAAGCTAAAAATACAGTTTTTGCCAAAATGACGTTACTTCCGGTGATAATGAACATCTTAAATTACTTGTATGAAATTGTAAATGGCATTAGGTATCACATAGTGAAAATTTCATGAAAATCGAATAATAATTGACACTTTTATGGACAAAAAACCTTGAAAAGTGACCTGTTGAAAATTACCTATTTCTCTACAACTGAACAAGTTAGAAACCATTTTGTGATACCTATATGATCGTATGGGTTCATTCTATTAGTTGATTAGAATCAAATATCAAAATATTAAACAAACAACAAATACGACTCATTTCAATAAATTATTTGTTTCTAAGGCTATAAATACAGTTTTTACCCAAATTTCGTCATTTCCGGTGACATGGAAAATGTTAAATTGAGTTGAACTAGTCACAATTGACATTACGCATCAAAGGTGTCACTTTTATGAAAATCCAATAATAATTGACTCTTTTACAGACACAATAGCGTAAAGAGTGACTCATACAAAATTGACCATTTCTCGGCAACTGCTCATATAACAAACTAATTTTGAGATAGATTCTCTTCGTATGGATTAATGCTACAAGTTTATGAAAGTTGCGAAGAAATATTTTAAAATATGAAAAGCCTGAATGGGTTGTAAATAGCTCATTTTTCACCTTTTTTCACCTTTAAATCAAAATTACCCGAAAACGAAATCGAAATTAAAAAAAACTGAGCCCGATGTTTTCTGCGCCTTTACAGGGCACACACTTTCAGTCATACCAGATTTGAAAAAAATAGTATTTGCTTTTAAAAAGTGGTACCGAACTGTCAAAATTGTAGTTTTTGCTAAATTTACGTCACTTCCGTTGCCGAAAGGTAACTTTACCGGTAACAAAAAAAATGACATTTTGGATTACGGAGCATATGAACTTTGTTTTATACAAATCGAGCAATCAATAATTAATCCAGGACTGAAAGACTGAATTAGCCAATGGGGGTCAAGGAAATTTACGATGACAAAAAATGGTGCCATTTTTGGTCAAATCAGATGACTCTTTAACCCTGGGTAAAATACCACATTAAAATATTCATGAATAAAAAAGTTTTTTGTAAAAATTTAAATTTTCAAAATTTGGCGCCTAATATCTCCGACGATTCGTGGAAAATCAAAAATCTAAAGAACCGTGGCTATGTGCCTTGTCTCTGGCTATGTCAAAATGTATCCAATGTTAAAATCCGACGATTATTGTTAATATTACGGCAATATTTCAAAAATCGACAAATTCGACAATTTCGGACATTTCGCATTGTCGCAGAACGTTCGAAATAGCTTTAATCTCTAAGTCACACCCACTTTTCCAGTAAAACCGAAGACATCGAATCAATCCGACAAGTAGTTTCTGAGATACAATCAAATTGGAAAAAAAAAATAATAATAATAAGTGTGAAACCCTAATAATAACAGAAAATTGCCCCTTAACAGTAATAATAGAAGATAATCAGTACCTGAGATGTTGACAGTAACAGTGATAATACCGAAGATCAAGGACCGACATTAGTCGAGTTTCACAATATCTCAACTTAATCAGATCAAAATCAATAGTTACTGATAATTAGAAACAGGAAGCAATAACGATAATATAGTCACTACCTAAGAAGTTACAAATTAAAGGTGACATACCCAGCGATCAAACATCCCACATTACTAGGGTATCCAATATAAACAAAATATAAGAATTTAATACCATAACAGGCCAAACTTCTCTATATATGTGGTAGTTTACTATGCATATATATATATATATATATATATATATATATATATATATATATATATATATATATCCAAAATTATTAGCACAACCGCAAAGCTGCACTACTTTGTTTCACGGTAAATGATGAAAAGATAAAAAAAAAAGGTATGCCGACACAAACACTGGTTTAATAACATTTTAACATTTTAAAGTACTTTTCGTCCGTCTTGGGACTATTCATAAATAATGTCATTGTATAAAGATGGACAGTATAGTATATTTATACATATTTACATAGTAACACTGTGGTTTTAATTGGCTATATTTACCATTGTCTATGGTTACATAGTATATCGTTAACTAATAGAAACATGTACACACACGTGTTAATCTGTAGTATATGGGGTTCAATTTATGAACAATGAGTTTAAGATAATCATGGGATAGATTTAAGAAAATTAATGAAGCTAATGGCCAATTGTTACTTATTGACTATTAAGTCGAGGAACATATTTTTTAATAAAATGGTTTTCCATTAATTTCCTTTTCGTAGTGTCATCGACTTTCATTTTATAAAAAAGGAAAATTTGGAATTTTACTTGTAGGTGTTGTGCACATTTAAAAATATGTCTATTTACATATATGTATCCAAAATTATTAGCACAACCGGAAAACACTACTTTGTTTCACGGTAAATGATGAAAAGATAAAAAAGGTATGCCGACACAAACTGATTTCAACACTGGTTTAATAACATTTGAACATTTTAAAGTACTTTTCGTCCGTCTTGGGACTATTCATAAATAATGTCATTGTATAAAGATCGTTCGTTCGTTCTTGGTGTTTAACGTGTGCTTCCACATAAGTGATATCGCAGACAAGACATAGGAGAGCCGAAGCTGATTCCTGTTTTTTAGAATATGATTTTGCAATCTTTCCATTTGGCCTTAGGCCATGGGTTTGGTTTAGTGGGAAGTTCTTCCCTTTATTTAATATAAAACATGTCGTTTGGTAGATGATCTCGTCTGCTTCTGGATTGATAGATGTCATCGTTTGGGGTTAGTGTTTAGGTGCCAGGCCCGTCTTATCGTGGCCTCCCCTTACCCCACTATCCCACTCCCTGGGTTTGGTATCAGTTTTATTTGCGGAATAGTGTTTAGGTGCCGAGTTCGTCTGACCGTAACTCCCCCTTACTCCACTATCCTACTAGTTTGGTAGATGTCATCTTTGTGGGGTTTGTGTTTAGGTGCCAGCCCCATCTTATCGTAACCTCCCCTTACTCCACTATCCCACTCTGTAGGTTTGGTGTCTGTTTTTGGTGGAATAGTGTTAAGATGCCGAGTCCGTCTGATCGTGACCCCCCCCCCCTTACTCCACTATCCTGCCAGTTTGGTATAAATCCCCTATGTAGTTTAGTGTTTAGATGCCGGGCCCGTCTAACCGTGACCCCCTCTTATTTCACTATTCTACTTAGTCCAACTGTGTCCGTTAGGGCGTGGATTTGTTCGAAGATTTGCAGTTTCAGATCTGGTCTCGGGAAGAGTAGGTTCTTAGTGTTGAATTGTATGTTGTTGGTCTCCATTGTTCTCACTAGTTCCCTTCTCTCCTCCTCGTATACCTCGCAGTCTACCAGGACATGGTTGGTGGTACATTCTTCTCCGCACTCACAGATGATGACTTGGTGTTTGTAGTCTCGCAGCCGCTCTTTCACCCTTAGCTTCGATATAAGTCTACAAATATCTCTTCTAGGGTGATTGAGTGTTGTCTTTGTGTAGATCTTGTCATCCAGCCGGAATATGTATGTGTCAAGTTCAATGAGATTTAATTCCCAGATTGAATTGACCTGTCTTTTGACCATACTGTAGATTTCCGTGGTGCTGTAGTCTATGGTGCGGAGTGGTGCTGTGTCCTTGAGACCTTCATTGGCGAGTCGATCTGCCTCCTCGTTTCCTCTAATGTTGACATGTGATGGAATCGACACGAGTTCTGCTTTGCTTCCCTTCTCTAAAACCCTCTGGTACAGCTGCCTGATTTCCAAAATGACTTCTGGTCTCGAGTCCGAGTTGTCATTTTGGATTGAAATCAGACTGCTCAGAGAGTCGCTTGGAATAACGAACTTACTAGTCTTTTGATGGGAAATCCATGATATAGCGTCACGAATGGCCACAAGCTCTGCAGTGTACACCGAACAGTTATTGGGCAGTTTCCTGCTTATTCCCTGTTCCCCGTTTGGCATCCGTGCACACATGGTCCCAGTCATCAGACGGCCAGTTGTCTTCCAGGTGTTCTAGAGAGAAAGCACGTGCAGCAGTGGGGTTGTTTTTCTTGTCGGTTTTCTGTAGTAGATCTAGATTAACCGGCGGTATAGGGAGCGTCCAAGGGGCGATCGCTGGGGGGTCATGTTCATTTATCACGAGCCCCCCCCCCCCAGTCGCATTTCCTTGATTGTTTCCCTGATACCCTGGCCGAAGCTTTTCTTTCTAGGATCTCTCACATATCTTGTATTTTGTAGACTGACAGAGGTTGGGATCTTTCGCCCAGTTGCGAGATCTTAGCCCAGTACCTTGTCGCTAGTTCTTTTCTTCTTAGGGATAGGTGCAACTCCCCTGTATAAAGATGGACAGTATAGTATATTTATACATATTTACATAGTAACACTGTGGTTTTAATTGGCTATAGTTGCCATTGTCTATGGTTACATAGTATATCGTTAACTAATAGAAGACATGTACACACGTGTTAATCTGTAGTGTATGGGTTCAATTTATGAACAATGAGTGGAAGATAATCATGGGATAAATTTAAGAAAATTAATGAAGCTAATGGCCAATTGTTACTTATTGACTATTAAGTCGAGGAACATATTTTTTAATAAAATGGTTTTCCATTAATTTCCTTTTTGTGGTGTCATCGACTTTCATTTTATTAAAAGGGAAATTTGGAATTTTACTTGTAGGTGTTGTGCACATTTAAAAATATGTCTATTTACAAATAAGGGCCAATTTTCAATATTACAATCCCGTCGATGGTTGCGTACTCTATCCCGTAGATGCGTGGATATATATAGTTTATACATATTAATTAAACCAGGAGAACAAGAATATAAACAAATAAAAACCATAACATGAAGAACACTACGAAATTATTAATTTATAACTTAGCATATTAACGTTAAAGGTAAACTACCAAATTGTTAATATATGACTTAGCATATTAAACGTCAAAAGTTCTTAAACACCTAGCACACAACTTTAAAATATCACATTATTATATTTTTGTCAAATAAAGGACGTGTGCATTTCCAAAAGATCGTGTGAGAAGCCGTTCGATTTTTACGTCAGAATACAATGGCAACCACGTCTTACGGATAAACAATCGACAGTGTAAACTCGGTATCAGACCACTGTCTGATAAAATGCAGTTTAATTGCTTGCATTAAATAATGTAGCCTATTTTGCAAATTGGGTGAATAACCTGAAAGTGACGATTGATTCAGGTGTTGGCTGAGACGGTTCATTAGGATTTTCCGGCGTGGTTCCCCATTGTCAGCGGTGCAGGATGGATGGCATGGCAAGGGACAACGTATAGTTTTTTGGATGGTACGAAAAAACGAGGTCCCGTGAACATATTGGCGTTCCTACGCTTGTTCAGGTAAAATTCCCTCATAGCACACTATATGTGGGTATGTCCGCCTTCATTAGCCCAGTTGGTGCAGAACAATAGGTCAGAGACAGGGGTACATTGCACTCAACACACACTAGGTCATTGTCGGAGTAAAACTTGTATCAGAATTATTCTCTCGTGTGAAGGGGTCTTAGTAGTCTTAGGTCATGGTGAAAAACCCCACGATGTTTATCACGTACAAGTGTGAGATCGAAACCACGCCACCTGAATCAATGCCAGGACTTAGGATCTAAATTTGGGCACGCCCCCCCCCCTCCACACACACACACGCGCACACACACACCCCGAGCTCTTTAGGGATACTGTATCGCTGAAAAGAGACCCTTTAATGTTCGCTGCTTCTAGAATAGTCTGAATTACAATCATGCATATTGATAACCATGCATTATTATCTATAGTGAAGATATAATTATAGTATATCTATTGATAACAATACAACTGATTTAATAAACCTTACATTAACCCCATAGCTATTGTCTGCTTGGCGAACAACAATCACACAGCAGAGTATTGTATGTTAGTCACCCCAGATTAACGAAAGGGGAATTACTCTCAATTGAAACACGTCTTTGTTCAAAGTCTGATCATCTGCTATTCACCACTTCAGATTGTTATCGACTGTGAATAGATCTAACAGGTGTCTAGTATTATAAATATACCATAAACATATGTTTGTTTTGTAATTTTATTTATGGGTAAATTAACGATAAATAAAGTAAGCATTGCGTACATTTCCCGCGTTAAAGTATTTTTACCCGATAGAGCATCAACAAGTAAATAAATTGAGCTGCATTAAATACACAATGTAATAAGTTATTATATATTATCAGCAATAATATGTTCACATAAATATTAATTTATTGAGTTCCTCAGGATTTTTCAGCATGGTTTCCCCCTTGTCAGTGCAACAGATCTGAAGGCCAGGAACAGTGTCCAGACGTTGTGATGGGGCGTAATTCATAGCTCCTGTGTACACGTTGGCGTGCACGTAAAACAAAAGTATGACATAGCGCTGCTATCAGGGCAAATTTTCCCCTTACAGCACATTGCATGTCGTATGCCCGTTTTCATTATACCGGTTATTGCCGACAAGTAGGAAATTAAACCTCAATTTATTCCGTTTCAGTAATGCATTGCTAAAAAACATGACCTTCTTACACAAAATACTATCTTTGACATACAGAAGTTTAATTAATCAAAAATAATAGATGATTAACCGAAATTCATTTGTTATCTGCCGTTGGGCTTCTAGTATGACGTCATGGAAATATAACTATAGCTTATAGGGTTTATGCTATACACGTATTTAGTGCCGGTACTCTTGTGGTGAAAACTTCCACACAAATAACCCCAAACCTTGTGATAAATGGGCAAAAGTACAACAGACATGTGAACTCTTGAAATGAACATTTGCATCAGGTCCAGTAAGCATACCATGCTTTATCTTTAAAATTGAAATTATATTACACACACTGATGTCTAGTGATCTCAGTTCCTTGAGTCTCGTTGTGTACAATATTGGTGCTCTGTTTTTCTGCAAACCGTAACAAAACGCGCTAAAAAGTGTTCATCATCTGCATTAATCGGCACAGAAAAGTATGACGGTAAACCCCATATCACTTAGGCTTGACTGTAATGATCGAAAATTTGTGGAATATCATTTTTTTTTAATCTAAAAGAAAAACTTATATAGGGTGCAGTAGCATGAACATTAGTTGATTAGCCTATTTTTTAAGGAATATTAAAGCAACTTACCAATAACAGTTCCTTCCCCACAAAAGTGTTTAACTGCAATCGCATTCCCCGCACTATTGATTACTTTTTCGCCAAGTAGCTCACGTATTTGGGACATAGTGTCCAGAATTGTTCCACAGGTTGGTGATGACACAAAAAATTAAATCCGATGACTTGAATACCGCAATATCATGGGTTAAAAGGAAAAAAAGGATCCAACGAATTCTCCAGAGTCAAACTGTAAATGTCAAAAATCTGCCAGTTATCTACAGGTGGGAAATCTCAACACCTCACATAAAGATGTGTGTAGCAAAAGTATGTATAGCGTAGTTACTAAATAATGCCTCTACACAATGGCTATTGTTACTGGATATTCTCGTTCAATATACGATCAATAAGCCAATAAACTATACCTACGAGCACAAATGCTTGAAATAGATGTAGGAACACTCACCTTGCCCATAACAAATCGAACAGTAAAGGGTTTTATTTTTCTTTTACTATAAGTCATATTTAGGCGAAATGAAATGAAATGGGATTTAGGGACCTGTACTTAGCTAATGAAGACGTTTGTAAGCCATACAGTGCGTTATTCGGGATATTTTGCCCGGGCAGTGGCACTGCAGGCTATTCTTATGTCGAATTTCAACTGTCAACCGTCCTTTTATGTGTACGCCAACGTGTACACGAGACATTGGTTTTCGTCCCATCTCGATTATACGTTTTATTGTTAAATTTTAAATGGCGAGAGGGTTCACATCATTAACTAATATCTAAGCCATCCGATGTCCTAGGGAGTTGATGGTGATCGACTTGTCATGTGAACAACTGTCTAAAAAATGCATGTAGTTTGTATAATATTTGAAGCCCTATAAAATATATATTTTTTATATTATGTTTTAAACTATTAATTCATAAAAATCAAATGAAATGAGAATTTTAAAGATACATGTATGATACAAAAACACTTAATGTAGTCTTATGACAAAATATAGTATGACGAATTGTTCATTTTGCGTTATAAGTATGTTGCCTTGATAATACAAAAGTACTGTAATAATAGTGTATGTAAGTACATTTACAAATCTATAATAAGTTTATTCATCTTTCCTTCCTGCATTTGAGTTCAGATCAAATATTTATATTGGATGATAAATATCTGGATTTTTTATGGCGATAGTCTCGAAAATATATATTTGTTTAAAAAAAGAGACTTGTATGAGATTCTCCATTTACCCAACTTGGCAAAACTGGGCAGCAATTTGAGAATCGGTTTATATTCAACCGCTGTATAAATTAAAGCTTTGGGTGCTTTGACGACTGTGTATCCTCATTCTATTAGGATGGATAGTATATGATTTTTACTGATTCTTTGTTCTGTCTTAAAGCAATTAATAACAATGAGCTTGCTCATCCATTAGTAGCAAACATGTATCGCCTGTTAATACCATATGATTTTATCGGTAATGACACTGTCCTTTGCTGCATCCTAAGGCATGTGGATAAAAAAGGGAATAAATAATAAAGCAGACTAAGCTGTCTGGTCTGATTTGGATCTTCCAATCTTTCAATTTTATATCCCATACCCTTAATTCTTCCATAAATACAAAAGTATATATGAACAAGGAATTTCATTATTTGTTTGGCATAATTATTGGAGCTGTGCCCGGACAACAGCGCTACGGCTTATAGTTTCATAATATTTCTTGAATGATGAGGTAGAATAGTAAATTATTACTATTTTTTAAGGTATCTTATATAAAACTATAATTCATTATCCCGTATTGTTTCATTATTTTATTTATAGACATAAATGTTTTCATAATATATCTTGCGATAATAAGATTGTCACGTTTGATGCAACTGTACATGATATCATTATATCCCCGGTTAACGCTATTTGGTTGTACTATATATATATATATATATATATATATATATATATATATATTGTATTTAATGTAATCGTTAATATTTTATAGACACTTGTATTTGTTTCGAAATGTAACGGGCTTTACCGTCTTGTCAACACAATAGCACTTCTGATACCGACATGTGATAATTTTAAATGTTAACTGTTAGGTATTTTGTATAGGAATATGAATGTTGCAGTGAACAATGAGGGTAGAATAGACTTTACTAAAAGGAAAGATGCAGACATTTCCTCCTAACCCAAAGATTTCAACAACAACCGATAGACGATAAACCCACTCGGGCTTCTTTTCTGAAATTTCTGATGTTGCTTGTGTAGTCGTCAATGTTCAGATTGGTACAAAGGATATTTATCAGCCTCACTGGAATTTGGCGATTGTGCCTTGAGTGGGCAAGTTTAAACCTCTAAATGGCTAGAGTTATTTAAACATTTGATAGGTATGTTGATTGGATAGTGCTTGTTCAGAGATATTTAAATATAGTGTATTGGTAACATAGGGTCGCTTGGATGGAACATGTTCGGCTTCTTCTAAACGGCATGATGATTTCATCCAAATTGGTAGATTGGTTGGTTGGGTGGGGATTACTAATATAAAATTGATCGGCCCAATCAGTTTTGGGCGAGGACATATATATTTTGATATTTTCGACTTCAACTAAATTGTCTTGTTGGATTGCAACCAAATATGGCAAGTTTATTGCTTTAGTAGCACTTACTCAGATTTGAAATTTAGACATTTTACACTTCAGTTTCGAAACCACTCGGCGGTGTTGGGACATCTTTAAGAGGCATCGTTTAGATATGGCCTTCTTACTCCACTTTACTAAATAGTAAGTGAAGGGGACCACCTGACAATTGGTTCAATACGTTAAGTATGTGTGATAATAGAGACTTTTGGCAAGCGTAAATTCCTGGTCCGATCGCGTATCGATTTTGCGTGTGACGTCATCAATGCGTGTGTATTTCTCATACGTTATACGGCACACGGATATGGCAGCACGCATCAAACAGCTTTTATACGGAAAAGGTCCGTATAACATCGTTGTCTTTTTACCGTAGTGTTTTTATGAATCTATGTGTATCCTAGAACAAGAAGGTGTATATTTGATGTGATTTTAACCATGATAAAGACGGATTTAATCATTATTTTTGATGGGCTTTTCGCGGAATTTTGCTAAATTTAAGGAGGTGGGACCTTGCAAATATGTAAAAGGGGTATATACTTTCTGAAATGATACATTAGTCAAACCAAAAATTACTGTCGAGTCGAAGTCGAAGATTTTTAATAAGATGCGACGCTAATTTATTTTTTAAACTTTAAATAGCTCAGCGACTGTCGAGTGACTTTACTCCCTTCTGGAATTTGTAGGCTAGGCACTTGACTAATACAGATGTTGATCTTGGTAGATAACTGCTATCGTGCTGTAATAGAACTAAGCTCAGCTCAGCTACCCATACGTACGCGGCGCGAAAATCTGCCAAGACTCTAAAACTACATTGACGAAACGTATCCCGTGACGATGGGGAAAATTACACTTGCCAAAAATCTCTAATGTATACGTATTCCCCTACCGGAATATTTTCACAGATATGGTAGAAATCCATCATATTGGTTAATTAGAAAATGTGTGCAAATATTTATTTTTGAGACTAATTGGACTGGCCAACTTGATAATGAAAAAAAATTGCGAGAGAAAAGTCAAACAAAGTTGAAAATATCTAAATCTCTCGCCCTTTATGATATGCCCTACCCATGAAACGTGGACATCCGTGAAATGGTTCTTGAGAAGTAAACGCGTGTAAAATGACAGCTCTAGGCGACGGATATAAAGTTAGCCCATTTGGTTAATAAATCATAAGTAGACCTTGCATGACAGATTTCTCACATTTCCGTTAATTACAAGGATAATAAATAGACAGATAGTGATTATCTTGATTGGTGGATTCAACAACTAAGTTGTAAATTAATTGCTTTATTGTCCTTTTAATATGAAATAAATACTATAAATATCTTAATTCAATAATACGATGTATACAAAAGTATATACAGGGTAAATGGTCTAGTCATGTGAACTCTCCAATCGAGAAGTGTCATCAACTGTTCCATTTTTTGGAACTTAAAACTAAAAGACGCATGCTAGGTAGTCCAATAACGTCCAAAGAATGCATTTTATTATCCCATGAATATTTATGTAGATAACACAAGTAACAGTTACTTTATCAGTGTAAAGTTTATTGCTTCCATGGAAAGTTTTCACCTTCGGGGTCGCTTGAGACACCTCCTCTGCCATCCTTAGTAATGATCTCTCTCGATTCCCCATCCAACAAAATAAGCGTAGGAATTCCACTCACTTCGAATTGTTCTCCGAGTTTGCTCTGAAAATATAACAAATTGTAAGAGATTGATTGGTCGGAGTTATTGCTTACGTTACTGGTTTGTGTGGATTACACAATGTAATGCTATCTAATAACTGTCTTAAACTTAAAGATGCATTCTGTAAGATCTAGATAAAGAGGCTTGCGGTTATCGCTATAGTAATTTAAAAATAGATACTGAAGAAAGAAAATATCAAAAATTTATGTCAAATTACTTTATTTTCAGAGTCTCGATTTTCATTGCTAATATTGTTACGATCATAAACATTGTCTGCGTTATACATTTTAAAACTAAATTTTTAAATGGCGATCGTATTTCAATTCATTAAAATCACGATCATCCGACGCTTTAGAGAATTGATTGTAGACTTATCGTGTGAATAAGTGTCTAATTAATAATTTATATAACATTTGCGGCCAAATGAAAGACCTACAGTAGATATATTTAGGTCTTACATAATGTATCGTCAAGTAACCGTCTTAAGCTACATTTTCACTCCTTCACGTTTAAGGGGAGCTTTCGCTCCTGCTCCTCTCTTCGAAGGAGTCATTAAAGACTCCTGCAAATTAGCTAAATCGCTCTCCTAAATATTGAGATTAATAAACTACTTTCAGTTTTTGTTTACTTTTAAACTGTATATATTCAAGGTATCAGGAGCTTTTTATGGCTCCCGCACAATTTTATAAACATGAAGGACTGCATTTTCACCTTAAATTTAGGTATTTCCTCGATCTTAAGTTGAATGGTATTCTATTATGTGTTTTAGAGTGTGCATATATATTACTCATAAAAAGAACTTACTCAAGACGGAGAATGTATATTAATGAAAATGCTAACGTTTAATTGTAATTAAATTGACTTAATCGTCTAAAGTAACCCTTCTATTGATAATACTGCAATACTATATGTGATATATTGCCACCGCATATGTCGTACTTGGGGTCAGATTTAGACACGTATATCTCATTACTACCAAGTTCACAA